CTATCTGTCAACCCTAAGATATCTCACTTGTATTCCTCCACAATGATTGTGATAATTTGTTCTTATTCGAAAGAAGTTAATATGTAACTATAGCTTCGAAAATAATTCGAACTTCGAAAAATGGTCAAAGTTTAACTTTTTATTTATCGTTCGCATAGTGTGCCAGGCAAAGCGTNCTATCTGTCAACCCTAAGATATCTCACTTGTATTCCTCCACAATGATTGCGATAATTTGTTCTTATTCGAAAGAAGTTAATATGTTACTATAGCTTCGAAAATAATTCGAACTTCGAAAAATGGTCAAAGTTTAACTTTTTATTTATCGTTCGCATAGTGTGCCAGGCAAAGCGCATTTAACAAGGTGGTGTTACCCGTGTACATATAAGCATCGTACAGTTTCCTAAGTAAAAAACATTATCAGCTGATTGCCGACAATTGTCTATAGCTGAGATCACCTGTTTTTTGGCATTTGCTCTTAAATTTTACAATTTATTTAATTTCTATTATAATTTCTTCCATTTCTATTACAATTTATTCAAAAGATACTAAAAGCGAAGGTATGTGCGTTCGCCGGCAAATGCGTCACGCCGTTAATGTCAAATAATATTGAACATGTGCCTTTATATGCCAGCTGTTACAGACGACGCCGTTACGAATGCATCAACGCAGTTGCTGTCAAAAGTAAACCAACTCACTACTTTTATGTTGCGTTCATGCGTTGACATTTGAAATTACATTTGTGGATATGCTTATCAGCTGTTTTTTTGCTACGTGCAAATCCAGGGTTGCGAAGTGGTATTTTGTTGGAAAATATAAAAGCCAGGATTTTGTGCAGCGCCGAATTTTAAAAAAAGAGGGTTTTGTGTTCTCAAGATGAACAGAAAAGGGTTGCTGTGCTGTTTCGTTTAAGTTTTAATCTTAAGGTATTTAATTAAATATGAAAAGGATAGAAAATTAAAGCAAAAATTTACAATATATGTACATATCTGAACATTTTATTATATATTCACGAGAGACAAATTAAATAAAATCGGTTAACTTTAGGGGAAATATACTTATCAGATTGGGTCAGATAGCGCTTTTACGTTATAAATAAAAATAATTCCGACTTAAATTTTATATAATTTTGGTGACGTATTTCTAAGCTGACCCTGAGATCTGTGAAATAATACATATTTATGTGCATATATTGTGTTGATTATGCTCTAAATCTAAATATGTTAATACGGTTCTTGTGTAGGTATAAACAAGGTATATTAAAAAAAATACCTCCATGAAAAATTTAGTTATTTTCGTATTTAAAATTAATCGTAATTTTATGGGGGGTTACAAAAACTCGTTTTCCAGGTCTATTCTGCGCTGGTAATAAAAAGTTTGTAACCGGTAATTAAGGTGTCTGTAAATTTTTAAACCCTTTTCGCATTCTGTGTATTCTTGTAACCGGTAAATTTTGTTACCATCTCATAAGCTGGTAACAAAGTATTACCCCGTGAAATATGCAATGCCAGAATTTGCACAATTCAGAATAGCTGAATTGCTGAATATTTTAACTGCATTACCAACGTTCCTAGAATCGTGGTGACAAGAACTGGTAACATTTTTTGGTAATAAAATTTTCCGGTTACAAAATCTTCGGTAACGTGCAGAATAGACTTGTAAATCGAAACTTTGTTTTTCGGCTATATTTGTTATTGGCCCTTATTATGAGTTGCATTCGATTTTCGATCTTCGCTGGTTATCGAAGATCGAGAGTGAAATTCGTATTATGAGCTATGCAACCGTGTCGAAATTTTCTTTGAGTATCGAATTTTCTGTCGAACAGAATTTTGCTTTCGATGGGGTAGCGAAGTGTTAGAAAATTGTGAAAAATGTATGATTTTGCATTTGTTTTCTTACTTTTTGGCGGGTGGACACTAATTTTAAACAATTTTTTATCAATTTCACGCAGTTTTAACGTCGTGAATACAAAACACAAGCTCGAAAGGCTGCTTTTACTTGTGAAAGAAAATCCCAATACTCAGTTGGCACGATCTCTGAGAACAAATCATAGAGCTGTGGATAGTTTTAAAATATTTTAAATAGATTTGGCTCACAAACACCTCTTTAGACAGTCGGAAGTTTTTAGTAAATCTGTAGACAAATGTCTTAAATATATTTTATGTCAAAATATATTGTAATGACTACACTTAAACTCTCTTGAACATTTACTACTCCTGGTCAGCTCACTAAACTCTCATCCTCTGACGAATCGTTGAACACCAGAACTTCGTTGTACTAATTTTTGCCACGTTTTTATAAACTTGCTTTCTTTTTTATTTCATTTTAATTTGCACAAATTTACATAAATATGTATAAGCACACTATTTAGTTTGCTCGATTTGTAAACAAAGCTTCTCAGCGGTGAAAAATATACTATTGTGAACAACATAAACGACCGAAGTTCACAATAGCGCTATTCTTCATCGAATGAGCGCCATAATACCAAATGAAAATTCGTTCGATCAGCACTATCGACCACAGTCGAAGATCGAATGTAACTCATAATAGGGGCCATTATTTATTGGCCCAGATGTAAATATTGAATGAACTAATATATTTTAAATATTTACGGAACTACCATTTGTATGCAACCCTGCCTATCCTATATTCAAGTAGATGTAATTCGAAAAATTTATAAACGGATTTCTTCAAATCAACCTGAGCTGCGGACATTTTGCGAATTCATTTTTAAACATTAACCACTACATTATATTAGTATAAAATACTTTCAATTAAGAAATAATTCTTATTAGAAAATAAATATGAATCGTTTTATTTTAAATATTCCAATGTATATTTTTTGTTAATGCAGATAGTGCGGATTTAACGTATTTTATACCTGTTATATGGGGAACATAAATTTAAGGCAGATTGCTATTAACAATTTTTACGCAATTTACGATTGCAATCAATTTCTTTCAAAACTATAATCTAAATGATTGCAAGTTGTATTTTTTACGATCAAAACAGATTCCGATATTAGGTATATTATGCAAATGCAATCCAATTTGATTTGAGTTATTCAGTTTTAGATACAGAGACAGTAACTCGACACCTTCCTCAGCAACAGCTCTGTCCTCTATGAGCTTCTTAATGTAACTGCTAATAAAAGAAGGAAATTTAAGAAAAATTACTATCACAGCGTTTCACTTGTAGCGTCTCACTCTTGTAGTATATTGGCTATGAAGCACCAGAAAATTTCCATCACGCATTCCATATGCCACCGATTGTCGTGGATCAATTAAAATACTGTCATCACAGCTTTTTGGTACTCCAGCAACCGGTGTGTCTATGGCGGAGTTATGTGGAGGTGTTGCATGACTAAAATCAATTTGGACTCTTTGAGAACTGGCATGTTTGTTGCGAGAGCTATTGGCATCAAATGTATGCAAATTAGATTTCCAAACGAGCAACTGTTGAATACAGGAAAAAATTTATATTATATGGGTCCGATAAAGTGCACTACTACCGTGTATAAATTTGTCGACCTTCTAATAAATCAAGCAATCTTATTGTATCGTCATCGCCGCCAGTCACCAAGAAATTTCCACTTGGGTGAAATGCAACATCATTCTCCGGCGACGAATGCACTGTATTAGCTCGCCTTCAGCTGTCAAATATCTTAACGCGGTTACAACTTAATACTAAAGCCACCAGTAGCCCGTTTCTGTAACTTTTCTCTACCGATTATTTCTCTACTGGTAGAGAAAATACGTCACTCTCACCTACTCAAGGCGAATTAATATAAGGTGATAGCAGGAGTACAAAAACAAAAATTTACATGTATTTTGTTTTTGCTTTGGCGGTATAAACTGTCAAAATCTGAAAGAGTGTGTGTAGAAGTTCAAACAAAATTTTTCAATTTGATATCAGAAGCCGTGCGGCGAAACACATACACAAAATCAGCTGAGCTAGTAAAGCTGAAATTAGTCAAGAACGTAAACCTACCGGTACGTAAACCCGAGTCAGCTGATACGATCTGTCTTACCAGAGCGCCATGTAAATGAAAACTCAACACCGCAGAATTTTTCTGTAGTTGTAGCCTGTAGCGCAGAAATCTGCGGAATTTAGATTTTTCCGTGTCAGCTGATTTCTTCCTTCTATAGATGGTTGCCACTTCGTCAGTTTCGCAAATGGTAAAAAAGGTATAATTTCCTATTCAAAATACGTTTAAAATATTTGAAATTTACTATTGAATAAGGTTTTTTGTTGAAAACTAAGTAGTTTATATTTAGCTACGATCTTATAGCACGAAAAATTGTAGATGAAAAGGTAAGTTTATGAAAAGGCATTGATGAGTGGCAACACTGTAGTAAGCAACACTGAGGGCTCCAGTAATCGACAAAATTCTGCGTATACAGACTGCGTTTAAGAATACGTTCTGCGTTCTTGACTAATTTCAGCTTAACACCACCTTATATAAATTCGCCTTGCACCTACTAATTAGCAGTAGAGAACAGGGCGGCGAATTCATATCTCAATTCGCCTTGGTAGAGAATTGTTACAGAAACGAGATACAGATTACCGTCTGGATGCCATGCCAGCTATCGTCCCATACCTCTTCCCAGGGTGAACGTTCGCACACATTCGCCTGAAAATGTATCGGAAATTCTTAACTTGTCATCGCCGCACGATGAAATTAACTTACCATTAGGGCTGAATTTTGCTGCGCGCACCCATTTGTGTGTCCAGTGAAAGATGTGTATTTTGAATCAGTTGGGGTGTTCACAGTTCGTTCCAAATAGTAGCTGCTTTCCAAAACGTCAAAATACAGAGCATCAGTGTCTTTTATTTCTAAACCTCAGCAGATTGTAATTCCAAATGTGCGCAACCAAGGTTAGATGCTAATTTTCAACTAGGTTGCGCAAATTAGACCTTTTCTTCAAGTGCTGTTTAGAAATAAAAGACACTGATGCTTTGTATTTTGACGTTTTGGAATTCACCCAGTGTCTCAAAATGTAGACGTCTACATTTTAAGACGTTTTCTAACCGTAAAATCTGTGGTGTTGTTGTTTCCCATACAAAATTGGAAAACGACGCCGTCTACATTTTGTCACACTCAAAGGTATGTTTTTTACGCGTCTACATTTTGCAACCTCGCAGCAGGGCTGCATTATGGCAATACTAATCACATTTTATTTTATTTATTGGGCACGTTTTCTGTATTTGCATTTAATTTGAGCGCAATTTCTGATAAAAGAAACAAATCAAGGAAAAGAAATAACAAATATTACGAATTGGTAATTAAGTTAAATAATTACAATTTTTCAGAAACAAAATCGAAAGGCGACATATAAAAAATGCATGCAAGGAATAAATGTCTGGCAACACCAGCAAAGTTTTGAGACGATTTTGCGACGACTGCTAGAAAGGGGTGCTCACAGTTTGATGCTAAAGATGTCTCAAAATGTGGACGTCTACATTTTCAGACACAATTTGGAACGAACTGTGAACACCACAAATATTTTGATAGCTGTTCGCAATTTTTCTAGTCTGCAAACGAATAAGCTGACGAAGATGCACAAAAATTCAAGCACATTGTTGCATTCTACCGTACTTTTTAAAAGCTTTAAAATCTTAAAACATATGTAAAAAACTTTTATAATCTGAATATTTCTAATGTCGCAATCAAAATGAAATTTTGTAAATAGCATTTTTAAAAAGCAATCATTACATATTTTTCAAGTGTTTGGGCATATATGTTACCGTTTGAATAACTAATACTACCAAGTTTTAAGAGACTATTTAATGCAACTCAGGTCAAAAAAGAGCAGTTTAGACCAAAATAAGCAACTCTAAAAAACAGATGATCTCAGCTGTGGCCCAGGATGACGTCTATTGCTAAGATATCTGAATTGTATTTGTACACAATGATCGCAATATTAAAAATAAAAATCGGGCATTACCAATCGCCAGAAAATAAATGTAATTCAAACCATTCACTATGATGCAAACTAGGGGTCTGTTCGAGGCACGTAATAAAGGCGGCAACTTTCGAATTGATAAAAAGTTGCTAGAAATTCACACTAAACGTGCTACTTTAATAATTCGCACAAAACTGCGGTTGCAACTCGAACAAGCTCTAGATCTAAAAAATTGATGATTAAAAAAAAATGCACTATAAATACAAATTTTGAAAAAATATGACGTAACCGTTGAGCACCATCGGATTTACCAATCGCGGGATAGTAAAACAGAAAACTTAATTCCAAAGCAAGGTCGGCCGTCAAAAAAAAATTTTACACTTCAGAGATTTTGACTCTTACGAAAAAGGCTTCTTGTAAGCATGGCTAAATTAACTCGATAAAATATATTTAATCAGGATTACATATTAAATTTCTATATTGATGTACTGAATAATGCCTTTCATTTTATGAGACGATTATGGTGTGCTTTATAAATGGGCTGTCGTGGGCTGTAGAGAAAATGTAGTTGCGTTCCAGCAGCAGTACGAACAGCACGAATTTAAGGGATTTTACTGGATCTGTTCCCGCACGACACCTTATATAAGGTTTATTATTGTGTTTTCGCTGTTCCTGTAAATGCTGTAAAATCCTGCAAAACCTGCTGTTCGTACTGCTGCTGGAACACAACTTGTATATATGTATCATGGTGTAGAGCTGTAGCAAACTCCTGTCTCGAAGTACCGAATCGTTACTCACATAATAATCTCGTTACTCGCATGTTCCGTATATGCACCATCAACGTGAATCAATACAACCACAGTATATACATTAATAAACCTTTTCGCAGTTTTTCACCAATTGGTCCCGCAGGAGTACTTTTGGGTTATGTGCAGCGTTTTCGTTTAGCGCGTACGGCAACACTACTGTTGGGAATTTCGCCTCACGATTAGTAAAAGGTATTTTCGGGGATTAGATATATATAATTGTGTTATTTAAGGACAAAATGTAGGTTAAGTATATCAATGCTTAATTAAGAATAATATCAATAGTTAAGTACATAATTAACGCTTGTGTTTCTATAAACTGGAAACTTACATCGTATTTTGTATGAAAAAATGTGAGTTTACAAAGAAAAACTCTGAATTCCCGAATTTGTTTAAGTCTTTATTCCGAAAACAAGGGCTGACTTCCAAAACGTACCAATACAATGTTTGGACACTGTTCTACTACAATACCATTTGCTATGAATTGCTACCGTATAAATTCAGGACACGCATTTGCTTGGCGAGTGCGTTGGTTATTTAGGTCATAAGTTCAGTCAACACATTCAATGGTCCATTGCCCGGAGCTGCTCCAGATGATGAGATGAGCAGGTTTTAGTGCCTCTGGCTACAAGATGGATATCTTAATATTGAAAAATAAATAGCAATTATCTCTTTAAAATTATAAGAGAAGTGTTTGTTTACTTCTGCCATGGTACGGTTGTTGCTCCCTTTCATACCACAGTAAAGCCCAAAATACAATAGCGCAGTGGCAGTGGCAGTGACAGTCTTTAAAATCAGCTGTTCCTGCTAATATTGGCAGTCACTGCCGTAGCAAACACAATACGGCGTTGTCAGTGACTGCCTTTTTTGGCATTTGGAATTTGGGCTAAACTGGGCAGGACTGCTAGCTGCCACTGCTGATGTTGTTGCTGCTGTTGTTGTTGTTGCTGTTGTAGCGGCTACAACAACCCCGCCCAGATCGGTTGGTATCTCAGTCGTTGTCGTCGAGTTCCATTAACGGCAGCCCGAAGAAGCGTGCAGCCTCTATGGGGGCGGTCCGCAGGGGCAGCGCCGTTAGGGTTGTGGGGTTTTCCGGGCATGCGAAGAGATGTTTCGAGTCGTGAGGGGTCTCTCCGCATGCCGGACATTCATTCGGCACATCCGCATTTAGCCTACTCAGGTAAGAGTTCAGCCTGCTGCAGTAGCCAGAGCGAAGTTGGGCTATTGTTGTTCTTGTATCCCGAGGCAGATGGAGCTCCGTCGCGTCAATGTCCGGTGTTTGTGTGCCTAGAACGGCATTCACAGGTCTAGAGTCTACATAACTCGAGACTGATTCCCTGTGAATGCCGTTCAGGGCCTGTCGGTATTTTGACGGGTCCAGAGGCTGCTTAATGAACCTCTAGACTTCGTCCGTCAGTTCATGTAGATGCCTCCCGACGTGTCTAGGCGAGGGCTCCTCTGCAAGCAGCTGTCTGTTTGGGTGGCCACATCTGTGGCTCCCAACCAGAAACTGCTTGCAGAGCATTATGTTATGCTCCCCAATTGGGAGCATTTTCGCCTCGTCATGGAGGTGGTGTTCGGGTGACATCAGGAGGCATCCGGTCGCTGTCCTGAGTGCGGTGTTCAGTGCTGTCTGTAGCTTTATCCACTGCGTCCTACTAATCCCCGGTGACCACACTGGTGCTGCGTAGTTTAAAACCGGCTGCCCTATTGCCTTGTATGTTGCCAGCAACGTTTCTTTGTCTTTGTTCCAGGTACTGCCGGCTAGCGACCTGAGGGCTTTGTTGCGGCTCTGTACTTTGTTGACAATAGCGGTTGCGTGCGCAGAGAAGGAGAGGAGGCTGTCGAATGTTACTCCGACTATTTTGGGGTTATTCACCGTCGGAATTGGTGTATCATCGACGTGAATTC